GCATAGATGCATTAAATTAATCAAAGGTGACAATAAAGACATTTAGAATGTTAGATGTAATGGATGCTTAAAAATTCCGTTTTCCAATCAGGAATAAATTACATTTCAAATGTATTCATATCGAAAATATAAATGTTATAATATTTCACGATATTTACTGTATTTATATAAATATGCAGCTTTGGTGAGCATAAGAGACTTCTTTCAAAATCATTAAAAAATCTTGCAGACCATAAACGTTTGAACAGTAGTGTGTGTTCCTTTATCTTCCTTTTCTATTTGTGGATGTAACACTTAATATTATGAATAATTGTTTTCATTCTTTGTCATATATTAACACTTGGGAGCAGAAATCAGTCAAGAAACAGCTGTCAATCCTGTAGACATTGTCAGCACTTTACAGTCACTCCAGATGCTGAAGTACTGGAAAGGGAAGCACCTGATCTTAAAAAGACAGGTAACTGTAATTGTAATGTAATGTCTGTAGTCATTTTAGCAACAGACTGTTTACATGAATTACAGGCTTGTTATTTTGATTATTTTGTGTGTGTGTGTGTGTGTGTGTGTGTTTTAATGCATTTAAATGGTTGAATGCTTTTTAGGATCTGATTGATGATTGGAAAACCAAAGAGGCAAAACGTGGAAGCAACAAGACTATTGACCCTACGGCCTTGAAGTGGAGCCCACCCAAAGGAACCTAAGACAATAATCAGCATGCTCTTCTCTGTTTGCTGTAGCTTAGCAGGTCTTGGTCACTATTAGAACAGCTCAACACATAGGAAAGTGTTTTCTTTGTTACAGTAAGTTACAAGTAAGGCTGCAATCCTAACGGTGTCCTGTACGTGTCACATGGTTCAGTTAAAACATTTCTAGTTACCTTAACTGTTCTATTCTAGTTTTTTGAAACATGGTTAACATTACAACAAGCATCGTAGAACTGCTGCATAGGAGATCCTATCACCTAACTTAGTGTTTGATACTCAAATGGCAATTGTTTTTACTGTTGTTTTTAGTCATCTATTGCATCTCGTTATTTTATAGAAATTACTATTTGACTGTTAAATATTTATGTGAAAAAAACATTACAGTGTTTCTATTACTAATGGTTTTGTGAGCTAAAGAGCTTCTTCTTTTTTCCATTTTCTTCATTTTTTAATTTCCTTCGAACCAGATATGTGTTCCCAGCCCTATTTGACATTAGCCAAAGTTAAAAGAATATTTTATTAGCTCAAGTGAGACTAACCTGTATTTTGGAACAGACACATTGCAGTAAATGTGATATATTAACCCTTCATCAAGTGTTATTTTTTTCTAAAGCCTACAAAGAAAACTATTAAGTGGAAGCTTCACTTAGTTTATAGCATGTCTTGCAGCAGCTGTAATTTGTGAGCAGACAGAATATCTTAAATTAGCTCATAGAATTACCGTGATGCACTTGTAAACTCCACCTAGTGGCTTTAACACATACTATACTATGATATGCCAGTACAGTAGCATGTGTTGCACTTGAGTTTCTCTGTCCTCTGAAATAAATTCGGTCACTGTTTAACACGACGACGTTCAGTGAGTTAATGGGGTATAAATGTTAATAAACAATGGGGAAACTCCTTAAATGAAGTTGATCCAAAAATAAAATTGTCATCGTTCATCACCCATACAAACTATACTCAGTCATTCTTGAGACGTGGGACAAAACAGGTCCAGCAAGGGTGACTGCTATTAGCTTTAAAAAATAAAAATATTTTCAATTTTAAATGTCATGAGGGATTAATAATAGAGTG